GCTAATGGCCAACAACAAGGAAGATTTGCAGAGATTGATGGACATCTGCGGTAATGAGGGAGATAGGTTAGATTTTAAATTCAGTAAGGAAAAATCAGCAGTCATGATTTTCAATGTCAACGAATGTAGTGAGCTTAGAATACAGGAGGTCACGCTAGAGATAACAGGTAAATACAAATACCTGGGCGTATGGATAAGCAATGGGACCGAGTATCTGAGGGAACACGAAACATACGTGACGACTAAAGGTAACAGGAAAGCAGCAGTCATGAAAAATAGAGCGCTGTGGAATTACAATAGGTATGATGTTGTGAGAGGAATATGGAAAGGGGTCATGGTTCCTGAGCTGACGTTCGGCAATGCGGTGTTGTGCACGAGATCAGAAGTTCAAGCAAGATTAGAAATTAAGCAACGTGGAATAGGTAGGCTTGCTTTAAGAGCTCACGGGAATACACCAAATCAGGGAGTACAAGGTGATATGGGATGGACATCATTTGAGGGCAGGGAAGCTAGCAGCAAGATAAAATTTGAGAAGCGATTGAGAGAAATGGGGGAAGAGCGTTGGGCTAGGAAGGTTTTCAGCTACTTGTACATGAAGAATGTCGATACAAAATAGAGGAAGTGAACCAGGAAGTTGACTGGTAAATACTTAGAAAACAGCAGGAGGCCAAACCAAAAAGAACTATCGGTTAAGAAGAAAGTGAAGGAAACGGAAACTGACATGTGGAGAATGGGCATGATTAAGACGTCCGCACTAGAGGTCTATCGCACTTTTAAGCAGGAAATTGCCAAGGAAAGGATCTATCATAATACTCGGGGTAGTTCTCTACTGTTTGAGGCCAGAACGGGAGTACTGCGAACCAAAAGATATCCGGCCAAATACGAAGGGGTAGACACAGTATGCAGTGCGTGTGGAGAGGAAGAAGAAACTGCCGAACACTTGATAATGTTCTGTAAAAGACTTCACCCTATATTTCAGGATGATGGCGCAGAGTTTTTCAAAGCACTGGGGTTTAGGAACCGGGAGGGCAAAATAGACTTTAAGCGGGTAGACTTAACTAGAAGGAGGTTATCTGATTGGTGGCTAAAGTCAAGGCACGAGTGAAAATTAAACTCTTCACTGCAAAGTACGAATCCTCAAATTCACTTTTTAAAGAAAAAAAAATAAATCTAGTCTTAGGTTCATTAAGTATTACCGCTTGGTGGCGCTAGCCACCGCCCGATCTAAAGGGTACAGTCATATCCATCCATCCATCCGGGTGCTCTGCCGGTAGTGCTGGTGCGGGCGCGGCCTAGAGCGCTTGTTTGCTTTGTTGTGCCTTGACACGTGCGGTTGGGTTTGGCGAGTTGAATGCGATGGAAGTTTTTTTTCTTTTGTCGTGACCACGTACCTTGCATGACTTGCGATGTCGTACTGCTGCGTGCCGCTGTGCAAGTCGGACGAAAAAAAGAAAGTGCCTGGACTATCTTTCCATGAAGTTCCTGCTGCCGCCGACGTACGAGAGAAGTGGTTGGCCGCTATTCGGCGAGACGGCTGGTCGCCAAATGCAACGTCCTGTTACACGGAGAAATGTAGCCGTCATTTTCGCGTCGATGACTTTTTTGAAGGAAAGAGATGACGGTTGAAGAAAGGAGCAGTGCCTTCAGTTTTTGAAGATTACCCCAAACACTTGCAGCCAAAAGGAAGCGCTGAACGAAGCACAGCAAGCATTGAAAAGCGAGCTTGCGCTCCATTGAGAGTGGGGAGTGGTCATGCGACAAGCGGCGCTACTAGGCTGTCACCACCTGCAGCACCCACACCGCCAGAACCTGAATGGGAGGAACCAGAGCCCATGGACACCACCGATAGTGTCAGCCAAACCGATCAGCGCAATGATGTTACGCATGATAAGGAAGGTGCACTCAAGCCTCGTGCATGTGACCGAGGTATTCAGGTCGACAGCGGGCAAGTGTCAAGTTTGCTGACCACAGAAAAAGCCAAATGGAAAAGAAAAGAAAAGGACCTGAGGAACCAGGCAGTTAAGTTGCAACGGAGTGTGGAAAAGTACAAATTGGAGCTAAGAAAGCTGCAAGAAGATTCTTTGGCGTCAGATATCTCGTATATCAGACAAAGGGCCACAGAGCAACAGCCTGCAGCATTGTTTTTGCTAGACCAAATCACAAATTTTAAGAAAAAAGGCCAACCTGGTCTGAAGAGACAACTCGTTGGTGCGTGGTCCTTCGACATTTGTCAACAAAAGCATACGAGCACATGCGACGTGAAATGCTTCTAAAACTTCAAAGTCGAAGAACCCTGACGAATTACATTGGCACTACCAGTGGTGAGACAGGCTTCAGCAAACTGGCTGAAACCAGGTTAGCTACAGAAGCTAAAAACTTGGACAAGCTTCAGTCAATGGTCTGCTCTTTCATCGTTGACGAAATGAGGATAAAAGAAAAGTTACAGTACCACAAGCAAAGGGATTGCTTTGTTGGGCACGTATATGTTGATCTAGAACAAAACAGCAGCAGCCCTGTTTTTGCAAATTCACTTCTTTGTTTAGTGATTAGTGGCATGAGCACAGCATTCCGAATACCAGCGGCTTACTATTTTACGAAGGGACTTACCGGCGACCAACTTCAAAAATTGATTGTTTATGTAATGAAGAAAGTGGAAGCATGTGGATTTAAGATTGTGTGGCTAGTGACCGACAATCACAAAGTTCATGTGAATGCCATCAAACTTCTCGAGAATGGATTGGTAACCTAAAAGACTGAACATCCCTGCGACCCAGACAGACTCCTTTTCATGAATTTCGACCCGTGTCATGTGTTAAAGAACGTCCGGTCACAACTGTTGTCACATGAGATTGGGCCAAAATGTGAAATTTCTGCTTCCTTCATCAAGGACCTGTACGAGATGCAGAAAGGTTTAACTGTAAAACCTGTCCGATAGTTGAGCCGGAAGCATGTTTTCCCTAATAATATAGAAAAATGAACGTTGGAAGAGCTGTCCAGCTTCTCTCCCCAAGTGTGACGGCTGCTTTAGAGTACTTGAAAGGTCAAGCTGGGCATACATGCTCCAAATCATTTTCCCATGCAGGCCCAACCATTACCTTCATGAAGAATTTTTACCGCTGGTTTGTACTGCACGACACAAGCAATACTGTGCAGCACATATATCAGAATTTTGCTGATGCTCGACACTATGACGACGTTGAAGATCCTAGGCTCGAATGGCTTGAAGTCACCTTTCCATTGTATTTGGATGGGCTGAAGAAGAGGTGCAACCATCCGCGAGAATTTCTTACGAAGGAGACGTACGAGGCTGTTCTCGTCACCACTTACTCTACAGTGGCATGTATAAGACACCTGCTCACAGATGAGAGCTTCTTCTTTGTTCTTACACGCCGGTTCAACAGTGACCCAATAGAGTCATTGTTTGGAACATTGAGGATGTCATCAGGCACAAATGACACGCTGGATGTTCGTGCTGCACTTTCGGGTCTAAAAAAATCCTGAAGACCGGAATCGCTGCGGATAGTGCAGTATAAAATGTTGCTCATGCTGAGAGTTCAACATCAGTGTCCCTACCTGCCGGTGCTTCAAGTTCGCAACCGTCGTGTACTTTGTCCGTGCCGCTTCCTTCTACTGCAAACACAGATGTGCAAACACCACCTTCTATGAAAAAGGCAGTTGTGGTGTTGCAAAGGCTAACCACTTCTGTGTTGCCTCAGTACCTGCTAACTCTTCAAATATCGGCCACAGCATATGTAGGGGGCTACATTGCCCGTGTGGTGAGTGAAAAAGTGAACTGTGAAAACTGTGTCTCTGTGTGTTCGAAGCCAGCCAGCAACCAGCCGCTCCTGCAGCTGACACGCCACTAGGACCGAGGTGGTTTGCTGTATCCATCTGATCAGCTCCTTTTTGTCCTTGATGCTTTGTGAGCTTTTGCAGACTGTGCGCTCAAAGACAACCCGACTTTGTCAAAGCCACTCAGTACCTTGACGAAGTACACAATTCCAGCCCTCTGTGCATCAAGGCTCCTTAAATGCCACAGTGATGGCAGCAATGACCACAGGATGCGACTCATGAACGTCATATGTATTTACTTCCTCAGGCCACTCCTCTCGAACTATGCGTTTTATGTGACTGACAAGTAAAATGCTTGCAAATATTTCGCGAGGAAGCCACTTTCAAGGAAGTATGTAAGGATTTGAGAAAGGTTGTGTCCTTGTGTATTATGTGATATTTTATTTTGTCAACAAATATTTTCATTGCAATCCATTTTATGCAGCGCTGTGATAAATATTCTCTTATGCAGTTTATGATATTTTAAGCAGAAATGATGATTCAAGGAGAAAAGGCGGAAAAGCTTGTCTGTACATCGCTGTGGATCTAGACAGCATTCTTGAGAAACAAAGTAAATTACTGCCGACAGAAATGTCTATTTTAACAACCTTGTTCGCATGCACCAATTTATAATCACGCCAAACTAAACGTTTTAACGCATGGCTGTACCTTAATTGGCTCAAACAAAAAAAAAAGTTCCACTTGTTTGCTGCTTTCGAAAATAGCTCAGGTAGTTATGGTGAAGCCGGTGTTGTGTCCGAAGAACACATCTCGCCGCCGCAAGGCCTCTCATAGGGCCATACGGAACATACTTGACACTCCCAGCAATCTATATCCCAGCGGTCCTAGTACTTCGGTGGTCTTCAAGCAAAAGCGGGTGTGGAACATGCTTACCGGAGAGTGCTACATGTGACGTTTTGGGACTTGCTAGCCACTGAGGTGGGTATTCATGTGAACACTGGCGTATCAGTGAATTCTATATGGCAAGTAAATGTGGAATGCTTCTGTCGCGGTCAAGTAAAGGCAGCATGGTAACACATAACAATTTCAACTGTTGCAATGTCTTGTGGGTTCATGACAAACCAGTTACGAAACCGAAACTGACTGAATTGCAGCTAATATGTGGCTGACGGTGATTCAGACAATTGAATCCAATCCAGCTCGAGTATTATTTTCAAGCTGTGTCGCTCGTGCTCGATCCCGTCTGAGTTTCGTTCGTGTGATTGTATCTTCGGTGTTGGTGACGTATTTCTAATCCCTTGTTTGCTACTGTCTTTTCATTTAACGACGAGCAACAGTGACCAAGGCTGTCAGATGTGTCATGCGACATGGTGTCGCGTTTGCGCCTCATCACCTTCGATGCCACGAACACGCTCTTGCGGTACAAAGAATCGGTCGGACAAACGTATTCTAGGGTCGCTCAACTCTACGGAGTACCAGCGGATCCGCATCACGTACACCACAAGTTCAGGATTGAGTTCAAGCGCATGATGGTTCAGCATCCCAACTTCGGCAGTGACAGTGGTATGACGTCGCAGGAATGGTGGTCTGAGCTTGTTAGCCGAACGCTCTCCGGCTCAGGCTCCATCAGCAAGCCCCTTATGACATCCATCGCCAGTCACCTTTATGAATTGTACAGGACACCTGAATGCTGGACGGCGAACATAGGCACGATTGAAACTCTTCAGGGTCTCAAACAGTCCGGTCGCAAGCTTGGCGTCATCTCGAACACCGACGAGCGGTTGGACAGCATTCTGACTGGTCTTCGGCTGCGGCAATACTTTGATTTTGTAATTGCATCGGCTGTGGTTAAGGTCCAGAAGCCTTCTAAGGACATTTTCTCTTTGGCTTTAATTTGTGCAAGCAGCGATGAGTGCCTAAAGCCTGATGACGCTCTGCACGTGGGTGATAACGTCGAGCTTGACTACCTAGCTGCAAAAAGTGCTGGATGGAATGCCCTATTGCTTGTGAATGATGAATCGCATAAACACCGAGCACTGTCAACAGGCCTTGTAAATCCCGGCGATGTGATCCAGCAGCTAGAAGATATTGTCAAGGTGGTCGACACGAAGGAGTCGCACTGTGCCACATAGTCAGTTTTTCTGGCTCGGAAACATTTGTGCTCAGAGCATGCGATCCTGGGGTACAGTGTGGACTACTAGAGACACCGGTCAGTGCTAGACAGTGAGCGAACGCCGGCCGTAAAGAGATCTGGTTTTGAAACTCGTTTGCATGATCGCATGGTGCTGCCTTCTAGCAAACACGAGTTTCCGTCGCGTCGTTTTTGTTTTCTTTTTCGTATGCTGGTACATAGTGATAGCAGATGTACTATGTTTATAAAATATATATTTTTAGTCCATTATTTCAATTCATCTGTTCCTGTTCATAGTTTCCGCCAAAAGGTGGTGTAGCTCTGGCAGACACAAACGAGAAAAATGGAACGGGACGAGCGCGTCATCCTCGTCCATGTTTGCTAGCACTGTGACATCTTTTGTATGCATTTAACCAAATACTTCAAAAGGTATGTTTGCAAACATAGTTTCCAGCTGTGCAACGTGAAGGGCCTTTATGTACACTGCACATAAACGTTTCCTGCCCCAGTCACATTTTGTCTAAGGTAAGCTTTAAATTGCAGGAACTGTTCACACTGTTGTTCAAAATGGGCTCATACTGAGCTCACCGTACAAGAAAATAGTTTACACCTAGCATTCATGGCAGACTATCTCTGGCCCAGTTTGTATTAACCTGGGAAACATACTTCAATATTAGACATTTAAGGTGCGAGGTGCAGGGTTGAACTAAGTAGTAACAAAAGTTACACCTTGTATTGTAAATAATTTTAAATAATATACAGACTATCCCAACATCGTACTGTTGCAGTATACATGGACCTGAATAAGGAGTTTTTTGCAGTACTTTCCTGTCTAAATGATCTCTCCAAAGTGTGTTTGCATTGTCTACTATTGGCCGCAAGATCAAGCAGAGTAGCCGCCTGGTGGCAACTTGCGGAAGAGGCGAAGTGTGGATTGCTCCGAGCGTCGTCTGGTAACCACGTCATGTTTTTATGTGCGCGTACGTCATGCATGTTCTCAAAGTGTCGTTTGTCCGGTCATGTCAGCGTGTGTGTAACTGTTTCTACGTATGCCTGCAACAACGTACGAAAGCATTTGGTCTTGCTCGGCTGCTAATGCATTGTAATAAGATCGCCAAGTGCAGCTTTCTAGAGTGCTGTTTATGTTCGTCATACCATCCATTCACTCGAATAATTTTAGGGTGGGCGCCACTTTCTGATTCAAGCACATCGCAAAATGCTCTTGGCATCCTCCCAAATATGAGGACTAATGTGAATACAGCGTTTTATAGCGACTCGGCTGTTTAAAAAAACAGGCTCCAGGCCATGCACTTGCACACTGTTGGTAGGTGTACAACTATGGCACTGTAGTTTATCGATCATGCGAGGAGCCTTAGTTGTGTTTATTTGGCCGTGGCACCACTTCATAGAAATATTACTATCACAAACTGTGACGCATCGGTACTTACACTGTACTTAAAACAGTTACCATGCGCAACCGCGTGCTTAGATTTAAGAATGCTTTAAAGAACCCAGACATTGAAAATTAATTCAGATGGTATACCTTATATATAATGTCGCATGATTTTACTGAAAATTTCATTTTTTTTTTTCACATTGTCTTCAGCGTTTGTGTGGCATTGTTAGTGACCGACGAAAAACAGTGGTCATTTTTTGTCTGAAAAAAAAAAATCATGCTTGTCTCATTACCCAGGCTTTTCCTATAAAACTGTCATGCACGTAATCATTCAGAAGCTTTCTGCTGAACTCTTATATAAAATTTCTTATATTCTTACTGGTGCAAAAAAAAAAATGTGCGTACTCTTGGTAAATGCAGTGTAGAGCAAAGCACCGTCAGCCACTAAGCTTTCCTGACTAGAGCTACAGACTGTCCCACATTTCATGGTGAATAGAATGAAAAAAAAACATGCGTATATGGTGCGAATTGTGGCACTGAACTAATCGCACAGATATGGGTGGGCTTTCTACGATGTTTCTCTCTTTTTTGTTGTATGCAGATGCAAGGATGTAAATAAGTAGTTCATTCATGCTACAGCTGTGCGTAGCAGGTGGAACACAAGCTAACCACGTACAAACAACACAGCAAAGGTGTGATTTAGTGCAAAAGCATTAAGAGAGTCACCCAGGGGTAGCATCCCTATAAAAGGTTGAATGCGCTTTACTCCCGTGTAGTGTTAACATTGCATAGGCGTCGTGCACCGATTAAGTAGGGAAGAGCGTAGATATTAGCAGTAAACTGTAGTTGGCGCATTTTAACCGCCGACAATCGGCTCGAACCACACGCAATGAAGTGCCGCTGCGTGTATTTGTATACGTGCTGCCGACCGTCTATCCACACTTTCGCAGGAATGGCGCTGCCACCTGTAGCCCAATGTCACTGCGAATAGGTGGCTTTGCTTCAACATTATACTTTTGTCAGCATGCGCTGCCATATGCCCAGGGCTCTAACACCCAGTGCCACACTGAAGTGTTTTGTGTGGCAGCATAATGTGTGCCCTTCTATTGCCTTGTCAACCAGTGCATCAGTGGTTTGCCCATTGGGTGACACATGTGTAGAAGCAAAGCCATGTTTAAATGGTGATACACTTGATAAAAGGCTCCAGCAGACGCAGGCCCATCTTTCCTGCATACCAAGAGAGCAAGTGCACAAGCATTGAAGGTTACTCTGAATCAATGCACGGGCCTTGGTAGATTAGCGACTAAAGGTGTTTGCTGCTTACCTTGAGGTTATAGGTTTGGTACCTGACATCAGCCACACTTTAATGGGAACAAAATGCAAAAACACCTTTGCATTAATGCTCAGTTTAGATTCAATGCTGCAGAAGCTATGCAAGAAGTTCAGCCAGCAAGATGTGTGAATACACGTGTCTCAAACTCTGCTTACACTGTTGTAAATGCTCACGCGAGCCGAGCAAGAGTCCGCATGCGATATGTCGGGACAAGCTGCAATGCGAACACCATGAAGTGAAAACAAAAGAGACAACAAGCAATTCAGAACAAGTTATCAACAACTGCTTAATGTGGTTTATTTATAGCTGAGGTACAAGGCATTCATTTATTATTTATTTATTATTTATCTGGACATACTGCAGACCAGCATTTTGGCCCAGGCAGGAGGGGCATAATAAACATCAGGTGATTTGTAACAGCAAAAAAAGAAAAAAAATGCATTTATACAATAACAGAGGTCACATGTCTGTGATACAGCAACAAAATTTATAACATATTTCAACACTCTAATCACCAAGTAGATAACTTTCCAGTGATATAGCGAAATTGTCAGTACACTCAAAATCTCTACTACAGTACACCTCTACTACAGTACACTCAAAATCATACTGTGGTTCTGTTACATAAAACAAATGAAATCAGATTTAAAATGAAGGATGAACATGTACACGAGGCTTAAAGGTATCAAGCATTACAAGCAAACTGACCAGTGGAAGCTGCCAACTCTGTGCAAGCTTAGCTTCAGCCTTTCTTGTAAAACTGCCCATAAGTATAAAGCATTGAGCTGTATAGCTTCATTTTATTAACTCGCGAAACTAGATTATTGATCAAACTGAATAAAAAAATTGCCATGATAATTCAATGCAAATAATTTCTCGCAGAAGAGTGGTTATCTGAGCAAGCTGGTGTAATGAAAGAATAAGAGGGCAAATGAAATCAGGCAAATGTGTCCTTCCATTCAGTGCCACCTTGTTATCCATGACAAGTTTCTTGTTGGTAATGTATGGTTGTGTCATGGCATAATGTGCCAATATTTCCCAATTTGAATGGATTGTCTCCACCACACTCTCTTTAGAGAAAGGGGGGGAGGGTGCGCCACTCATCGTGGTTGTGTAGCAAGTGATGTGCATGGCATCTGAGCTCGAGGGTGCAGGTTTGATTACCCAGCCATGGCGACTGCATTTTGACTGAGGCAAAAAAGTGAAAGGACAACCATGTACAGCTGTCAGCACATTTAATATGAACACCCCGCAGCCTGGCCTGAACCAGCTTGTACTGACGCCAGCACCGTGATGTGTTGGCCAATATGCTTGCAGCGGCTGATGATAGCCGGATCTATCAATAGTGAGCACACTCTCTTCACCGGTTAGAAAGAATCGCAACGTAAGTCGGCCAGCCAAATCGAGCTGCTCTCAAGCTATCATCAGCTGCCACAAACACAGAGATGCATTTCCCGGCAGTGGCGTCAGTTCAAGCCAGTCTAGGCCATGCTGCAGAGGATTTGTATTAAGTGTGCCGACGCCTGTATTTCGATTTATATGCATGTTAAAAAAAAACCCCAGGTGGCCAATATTAGTCTTAGTCAGGACCGTACCCAGAATTTTTTTTTTGGGGGGGGGGGGGGGTGCGTGTAGAACGGCTGCCATTTTTTAAGATTTATACTGGCTTATTTTCGTGAATAAAATAAGTACATCGCTTACTTGTAATAATTCGATGGTACTTTTCAATTATTTGTACCCAAATAAAGAAATTGGTATGTCAACCTGAAATTCTGGTTAAAGCAAGAAATAAGTTTGGACAATAGCACCACCAAAGCCGGGGACACCGGGACCAACGGCTTCTGATGAAGTAACACAATGTAACCGCGGTACAAAAACGGCATGTATGTGTTACAAGCTGCCACTCTAGCGTCGCCATCGCGAAGTCGGCGACGGGAATGGCAGCAGGTTAGGTCGTTCCGTACGTAAGCAGAGACAGTGAAGAGATCAGAGACGTATGTGGGGAAAAACAAAACTCAAATGATATTGCAGCGCTGCAGAGGAATCTAGGAATATTGCAGAGGAATCTAGTACAACACTTAATACCAACTAACAAAATACATATAAAATCAATAAATCAGCTTACAAGAGAGAAGTATTACAAACTACACAAAACTAACCAACAATAAAACTACAGATGAGAAAGTCCGAAGGTATAAACAGGTGAAGGGATACCTGTGATGACCGGCAGCGTTGAGTCCACGACGATCGGATGCGAGAAGTCAGAGAGAGTTCTGGCACAACTGCGATGTCGGCGGTGTTGCAGCGCTGGTGTTTCCGGGAGGCTAGTGCTTGAAGCCGATCTCGGGCAGGTTGAGCTTACTCGAGATTCAAGTACCGATGCCTACGTTACAGACGTTAATTTCGCGTCACAACTAGACGAATGGCTAAGTTTAGGTGGCCAGCCGACACGGAGCCACAACCACTTAAGGGATACTTCTTGATCTCCTTCTACACCATGTTGGTCAGCAACTAGACTGCTTAGCAAGGCGAAATCCTGCTCT